GTGTGTGTGTGTGTGTGTGTGTGTGTGTGTGTGTGTGTGTGTGTGTGTGTGTGTGTGTGTGTGTAGACACTGTGGCTACAGCAAAGCCTTCCAGGACTCAGACGAGGAGAAGATGCATTATCAGAATGGTCATGGTACGTTTGGCCCGTTCCTCAATTATCATCAATAATAAATTACATCACGTTTTTTGGAGGGATTGAATTTTTATCTCGGTGTATTAAAGTTCATCCTCGGAGCAAACAATTTCCATCAGCCTCTGATTACAGGAGCGTGCGCTCCTTCCTCCACGCTGTTTGTTCTTTCGTTTTGTTCCTTTAGCTCTGTGGTTTTCTTTCATCAGGCTCTCCCTGCTCTCAGCGGCGACAGGGGCTCAGATGTGATGCTGCTCTCATCCTCTGATATGTGACCAAATGCTAATGTTGTTTATCTTAGTGTCATTTCCCGACGCGAGGTTTTATATCGACCCGCACACGTACGAGGACCCCTGCCAGGCAGTCCATGAGTTTGCCAGAGAAATTGAAGCTTCCAGGATCAAAATCGAGAAAATCATTGGCTCAGGTAAAAACTAGTGCTTCTGTGCGCAGAAAAAGAAACACACACATAAGCACACACACAGAATCTGGCTAAGCTAGCTGAAAATCATTGGTCGGTGTAAAGGCTGCGATGTGCAGCAGAGAGGAGGATAGCAGAGTGGAATCAGAGCYTTGCGTGGAGCTGTCAATCACAGCTCCTCAGCCTGGCGGGGAATACTAACACAACACAGCCTGCCTCAAACATTACGGCTACAGAATGTCTAACACACACACACACCACAAGCAGCAGGAACGATAAGACGCAAGCCATAATTAGCTGCTGTAATTATTCTGTGGACATTCTGTCCTTAAGTAGATTCTGTCTCTTATCTGAGCCGACACATTCTCATTTACACTAATGGTTTAAGAGGGACTGAGCTGAGCACCATGGATGTGAAAAGATATTCTGGACATTTCTGGTCATGTACTGTCTTAATTCAGGCTAGCCGGTACAAAAACTAGTGTTACCTCTTTAACTTGCTGCTGTTGTGTCATGTTCAGGGGAGTTCGGGGAGGTGTGTTACGGACGTATGAGGCTCCCGGGGAAACGAGACATCGCTGTTGCACTGAAGACCCTGAAGGCAGGGTACACAGAGAAGCAGAAGAAGGATTTCTTGGCTGAGGCATCCATAATGGCCCAGTTTGACCACCCGAATGTCATTCGCTTGGAGGGGGTGGTAACTCACAGTAAGCTGACTCTGAACTCAGACTCCAGTTTTAGTTCCAAACAAGAAGAGAACTAAAACTAACCAATCCTCTTCCTCCATCTTTCTTTCCTCTTAAACATGCCCTGCCAAAACTTAAGAAAAAGTGCAGCAAACAAATGGTTTTGTAACAGGTACATTCAGCACTCAGCAGCACAGGCCTCAGCGTACAACCTTGGGCCAAARCAAAACAAACACGGGAGCTCTGCTCTGAGCAGACACTCCGCAAAACACTGACAACTTCTTTCTACCATAATAATGAKTTCAGCTTATAATGTTCATCCCTTCCTGGTTACACCCCAGAGGTGTTACCTTTTGCGTCAGATGTCAGAACGTTACTCATTTTGTTTAGGCTAAGAGAAAGAACACATGYTAASACACACACACCAACTCTTATCCTGTTATGGCCTTAAAGCTGAAAGGATCAGAAAGTATAAAATACAAAACTGAATCTAATATTCAGTTAATCAGTTACAAAATTTCTTCAGTTTATTAACATCTGAACCTCAAATTTTGTTGTTAAACTTTTTATAGGAAATTTGATTGTCCACAATAAGCTGTACKTTTGTGATTTATTTGATTCTGTAAATAATAAATTATCGCATTTATTGTTAGATCAACTTAAATTCACTGAGTACGCTCGTCTTATTGTGTTTTGTCCATTCATTTTTTTATAAAGAAGATYTTACCGAAAATAAGAAGAACCCGTGAATTTCCTTATAACTTTAGTAATAAGAAGTGTAGGTTTTTTGATCAGCTGAAAAAAATCATGTTTGAGTGTAAATGCAGTTTTCAGAAAATTCCCTGCTCAAAAGTTCTTGTCTCTTGCACTGATTTCTTCTTTTAACATTGTGAAGCTCTACTTAGAACCTTCTTAAGATCCAATAGTGCAAAATGCAAATTATTGCACCTTTTTGACTGGTCTTAAGATTTTTGATCAGGAGTGTATATCTAAGCTTAAAGTAACTGCATATAAATAACAGTGGTTACTTTACAAGGCTGGTTGGCAATCATTTAAATTCTGTTGACTTTTTTGTCTCAACTTTCTGTTAGCTCCTGCTGATAGCAGGATGCTGCAGCACAGTCTGCAGTGTTAGCATCCTGCTATGCTAACCTAAAAGATTTTTTTCCAGAACAATGTTTAGCTCCAGAGGTAGTTGGAGCATCTTCAGCTTATCTTCTATCAGAACTGTTTTTGAGAAAAAATTAACTGTCATGCTGATTCGCAATGAAAAGTAAATCCTACTTAAGTTAAGTTTTGGCAGAGAGAAGATGGAGTAATATACAGTATTTCTCTTGGGGGGGACACAATAATTTTGTGTGTTGAAGCTAAAGAATTATGTAATTTATTTATTAAAGGTTGAACATAAGGGCTGGACCTTTCCTAATTTTATTATGTTTTTATAATTAATCTTTATTTGCTGCCATGTCTGTTTAGTACCAGCTGGGTTCAACTAGACACACACATAATGCACACACACTCACTTTTATCCATTGAATAATGTAAAGAATAAAAGTTTAGATTCATGTAAAATCATAATAACGCATTGACTTGATCAGAATTTATCTGCCACACTAACTCTCTTACACTTGCAACAGTATTGCTTTTTTATTTTATTTTTTTCAATTTATGTTGGCATTCTCCATATGCTAAAATTAATATTTCTAGTTTCAGTGCCGATAAATGGACTTCCGATCTACTTATTTTCTCCCGTTGCCATGGTGAATCGCGTTATTTGACTTCTGTTGATGAGGGCTTCGTGCTTAACTCGGGGCTAACTTGACACAGGATTGAGTTGCCCAGTTGATATCACGTTCTGAAACCAAAAATCCTGAGTATCACAGAGCAGGGTAGGTTGATTCAGAGTATCTGCCTTCCACCCAGGGCTTGTTAAGCCTGCGTTCTAAAATGGGGCCCAGGGCTTTCTACTGAGGGAAACATATGGCCCTGACAGTGGAGCAACAGACTGACAGAAAATAAAGAGTAACTAATTACAGACAAGCACCAACACCTGGAGAAGAGATGAGGAACAGGAGCTGAAAACACAAAACACCACCATCCAGAAAACTAAAGAAATCAAAACACAGATTCTGACCATTTGTTTTCAGATCCTGCAGTGAAACTCAAAGATGTTATATTTTGTTGTCGATTTTTTTAGTTACTGACCTAGTGCAGAAATAGACAATGCTGCTTCTTGAGTCTTAGTCTGTGAACTGAAACCATTATATCCTTTCTTTCAAAACTACATTTGATACAAAAAGCAACAAGGTAAAGGTGTGCTTGCTCTATCAGTCACAAAAATCAACTCTTTTAGTTCTAAGGTTCCACTTCATTTAGCTGCTTTTCACAGCAGTTCCTCCACAAGAACTGGTTTCATACAAAAACTTTTAACACAAGTTCTCCAGCAAAGTTTGTTCTGTCACAAATTTTGATGTAATCATTGAGAAAACTACAGAAAATAGAGAAAACTGAACAGGCTGAAAAATAAGACCCAAACAGAATATAAAAATATCTTTGCAGCACCAGGAGAGACTACATTCAACTTTTCCACAGAGACTCCAAGCACACAATAACATGTATTTAACAGCTACAAAAGTGGATTTTGTAGGATATGTCCCCTTTAAGTTTTGTTTGAGGAACTTGGAGAAAACCCACACATACACGGGAAGAACATGTAAACTTCACCCAGCCAGGCTGTGAATCTGTGAACTTGTCACTGTGAGACAAGGTCTGTAACTGGTGATGCAGACCAGTGTATAACAGTGTTTACCATGTTTCTTCAATAAAAGTCTGTAATATCTCAGTTTGTCCAGCCAGGATCAGGGTCAGTGAACGCTACATGACTAGACAGCAGGAAATAGGTGACCAACAGGTATAAATCATGATAACTGCAGAACAAAGAAAAGTGGATGCTACATTTTTCAGGAGAAATAGATTATTTTCTTCAATTGAATTGAAATCAAATCAAATCGGTGTGTTTAGTTTGTGAAGACGTCTAATCTGGAGCAGTAATCCAGGAGTGAGCATGCTAAACTGAAGGAGCTTAAAGAACAGGTGGATCAATATAGTTACTGTGCTCAGGTGGAGTTTAGATGCACAAGAAAACCCCAGAGAGATGTTGTGTTAAGGGAATAAACAGCCTGCAGAGGGAGAGTTTGTGAAAGAATAGATCATTGTTCCTGTCTCCTGACTGTATTAATGGAGCTCTCAAAATACCACATCTAACCTGTTTTCATCCATACGTAAAAGCTTTTCTTTTCAAGTCAAAAAAGAAAAGCAGATTCCTGATTTTTTTCCCCCCATCCATTCTTTTATTTTTCTCGGGTTTTTTTTTTATTTATTTTACCTATCACTTTGCCAGTTAGGTTTGCGGGGCAACTGGTGCCCATCTTGGTCAATTTGTACCAAATCACCCAGTGGTTTTAACCCAACCATCTCAGATTTTGATGAAAATTGGCATATTTGTCATCTGTAATCCCACAGCACAGTATCTCAAATTTTAAGTCAATCGGACCAGTGGTTCCAAAGACATCCACCCCCCAAAAAAATTTGAATTTTCTGCAAAATTGGCACATCCATCTATTTTCAAACCCAATTATCTCAGGAACTACTAGGTCAATTTTCACAAATCTTATATCATTGGAAAGGTAATTTAATAAGGATTCTGAATCTGCCCTCATCTTATATTTTTGATTTGAGCATGTTAGGGTCCATTAAACATCTGTTCTTTCCTACGACCTTGAAATTGACCTAGTGGATCACATGACCTTGAGATGACTTTTCCTTAAATGAAATCCCCCACTTGTTATCTGAGACATATAAAATTTTCAGATCTGCAACATTTTTGTTTTGCAGTATTTTTGATTCAAAGATATAAATTGGACTAAATTAACCATAAAATGCATTATAAATGTACACAGTTACATGAATACTGTATGTACAATCCTAACTCCAACGAAGTTGTGATTTGTAAAACATGAATAAAAGCAGAACATGATCATTTGCAAATCCTTTTCAACTTAAATTCAATTGAATACACTACAAAGACAAAATATTCAATGTTCAAACAGATACGGATTGTTCAGAAAAACTCCTAAACACTGAAACTTTAAAATGTTAGCAAAATAAATGTACAGAACATGATTACTGTGGTTTTCTCCATTTCTAATTGTTGCATTGTTTGGATTTATGAACAGAGAGTGGCCTTCAGAGGACTTTCTAAGAGAGAAACATTTAACCTGCAAACTGAGGCTTGCAAGGTCTGAGATGGATCTGTTCTCTGAGCATTACACAGTCTTTTTCTGTAGAATGATGGACTCCAGATCAGTGGCTGCTGGTGGATTTTTCTCCAGGGAGTGGGGGGGGGCTACAACTTCAAAATAGATGTATCTCAAAAAGCAATCAAACTTGTACTAAGTTGTTTCACGCCAGTGTATTTATTAAACAAATCAAAAAAATAAAACAGTCATGTAGTTTTTATTTTTAGTACATAAATTTTGCTCTTCTGTTACTGAGAACAAATTTCTTCATGACTCTGGTTAAAGTCAGGGATGTTTTAACAAGATTCTTCTCTATAGAGCATGGTCAATGCAGTGAGGTGTGATGTTGTACCTGAGGAAAGTCTGGATTCTCTTCAGTGTTGAGAAGCTCCTCTCAGATTCAGATGTGATGAGAGTCTTCAGCAGAGTCACAGTCTCTGAAGGTGTCCTGCAGATTGTTCTCCATGAAGAGCTGGTACAGACTTCTTGGTCCTGTTCAGCATTGGGTGAGCTTTCATAGTTTTCAGTGCTGCTTCAGAGAACTGTCCTGCAGGAACCTGTCAGCAGCAGTGTAGCTCTGATCAGATGTTTGTGAATGTCTCAAGATGATGTCACAAACCTAAAAAAAATAAATGCACAAATTTAATTCAATATGGATATGGCTAAAAGTGAGCTTTCTAATATATATTTAATATAGAGAACAATTAATATTATTTTAATAGC